TTGTGTAAATATAAAAAATATTTTTAAAAGAATTAATTCTAATTACACTAAACAATACTCGAATCTAATTCAATTTGATAATTATATCAAATTTTAATAGAGAAAAAAAATGTAAAAGGAAAGAGCAAGCACACTAAGAATATAAATAATAATTTATTTTATTAGACAATTTATGATTTTGTACATATTAAATACAAGCAGTGAATTGTTTTATTTTAAATTTTCTATTTTGCATAAATTAAAATTTCAAGCGACAAAAATTGATCACTAAATTATACATTTACTTTTTTATAATTTATGTAAATTAAATTTGTAATTTTATTTTTTGGCCAGATAAATTTGTAATATTATTGCATGTATTGCACTTATTTTCTTATTGTAGGTCTACATCCACTGTATTTTATTCACAGTGAGCCCCACATTTTTTCAGTTTTTTAAAATAAAAACTTTGCGCCAACTTTGGACGCAATTTACAACATGGGGGAGATTTGAAGATTTCTGCTTCGCTTCGGCTGCTTTCTAATTGAAAAAATAAATCAAGGCAAAGTGTACTGCCTACATACGTCATGCTTTCTTTTTCTAAATCACTGATTGCTTGTCTTTGCTTAGTTTCTATGTATAACTCTCACTTTATCTCATGAAATCTTTTAGTTATATATAAATGCAGCCTGCCACAATTTATGATTCCACTCTTAATCATCTTAGTTATTACTTAATCATGCTAATCATTAGTTATATAGTTCCCGCTACGATCCTAACTCTTTATGATCCTATTAATTATATGTATAAGTTAATCTATTATTGCATCACACTCATTTTCATGAGTTTATAAACAAATTAATTGACCAAAGATGTTACAGAAATTATCAAATTATTTAAACTTGAACTTTAAGTCGTTAATGCAAGGATTCAAGATTTCAGAAACTCCTTCCTGCCTCTTTGTTACTTAATTATTCGTAATTACGTACCAGTAACTCAATAACTCGTCAATATATTAATATTAACGAATGTTAATATGAACACTTAATATTCAATATTTATTTTTGTAATAAATTAACTATTTATTATATATATATATATATATATATTATAAGAAAAAAAACAAATTCTAATATCGGGCAGAATCATATTTTCTTCTTATGTTATTCTGAAGGGCGTCCAAACCTTGGAATTAACGTATATGCAATTAGTAACAGGTTTATACGCACGTGCTAATCTCTCTCAAAATCATATATGGTAACATTCAACTACGTGTAACAAACCATTTCAAATTCTTCGTGGTGAAATGCTTGTGTGTGTGTAAACATCATACTAAAGCCTCTTCTTGTCCTTTTTAAGCGTGATTCTGACCGTTTGATCCTCTAAGATCATCTGTATTTTCACCTGTCAAGGAAGCTTCGTTATTAGATTTGTTGAGTTTTTTTCATTGGAATAAGTATTTGATGATTATGCATAAAATATATTTACAAGTAAAGGATTCAGGATTATTTGAGAGTAGTTTGTGTATTTCATGTCACCTTGTGTTGATTACAATTATGCCTAAATGTTAATGTTGAGGTTAAAGCTGTCAACTTTGGATTGCCAAAAAAGTCTTTCATGGGATGATAATTATTTTGAGCTTTTAGGTCAATAATTTGGACAGGACAAGTTGTACATTGAAGAGAAATAACGATTAATGACTGTAGGAATAGATAAACTTGGCTTAGATTTCATGTTGAAACAAGGCCAAGACACTGTCTTGTGTTGTCTCCAGCTTGCTGAATTTTGCTGGCCTTACCCATCCCTTTCTATAGTAATGTAAATGATTGAGGCTGTACTATTTAAACAAACAACACAAACAGTATTTTTTATTATTATTTTGTAATTCAAACATATATAATGAATATATAATTATTTAATTTAGTAATAATGATAATACTATAAGTACCCATGATTTATACAATTTTTCAAGTGAATCATCCACATTATGTTATTATTGAAAATTATATTATATTGTCTATATTTTAATTAATAAATTTAATGTCAGATATATAAAAATTATATCTAACTTTAATTTGACATAAATAAATTTAAAGCAATGAAAAGAAAGCAAAGGTGATGTTCACGTAATAGAAGTTTTTGAGTGGCATGTCATTTTTTCTGTGTTGGCATGCACCTGAGACCAAATCCATCGAAGCAACCATCCCCCAGTTCCCATGCTCGGAGATAATGATGGACTCATTTAATGTTAAACCCATTTTATTGTATATTCAAAAATAATTTTAAACCTATTTATTGATTTTTTTTTAGAAAAATTATGTACCGGTTCAAGTTGAGAAAATTCTAAGTAATGCTTTTTCAAATAAAAAGCAAGATGTAATTTGGTTGAATCAAAGAGATGAAATGATTATTTTACCCCAAAAAAAAAGACGATAGAAAATTATAATAATCAGTGGTAAGTGGCAAGCTATAAGTTCAAATCTAGTAATGGTTGACCGTTAGTAGTCTTTTTTATGTTTTTTCCCCTTGTTGGCCCAAGCGGCTTTTCTTCATTTTACGCTTTTTATAAAAAAATTTGCACATTCACATTCACTCACGTGACATGTGAAATTTAAAGTAAATTGCATTGTTCCTAATTTATTTTCGGTTCATTAATTGCTCATAATATATAAATAGACACATCATTCTAGTTTTTGTTATACATAAATATATCAGTATAATATTTGTAATATTTGCTGGCAAAAACATGGCGATATTCATCTTACTTTAGTTTATTATAGTTTATCATCTGCTTGGCGGAAGAAATCAGTAATGATTATGTTAACAGTAATAAATTCTCTGCAATGATTAGAAGATCCAATTAAAAAGAGAAGAAAGCTTTACTCAAATTAATCTCATCATTTTCCCCACCTCTCTCATTATTACATCTTCTACTTTCTATGATATTTTCAACTAAATTTTATCTCAATAAAATAATTAAATATTTTTAAATTAACACCATCTTTTAATATCTATTATTTTTTAATAAAATATTTTCTTTAAAGTAAATATAAAATAATTTTTTTATTATAAGTACTTTAAAAAATAATAAATTATACGTTAAAATATTAAAAATACATTATATTTTTTAATAATCAATTCTTAAATGTAAGGAGTATATATTTACACAAAAGACATAATATTTTTTCATGTTAAATAAATATGTTTCAAATTTTTTGAAATAACTGTTTGATTTTCCCATCAATCCGAATTAGTGATGGAAAATTTTTTCCCCCAACACCAAAAAAAAAAAAAAAGCGAATGTTTTTGTAATTATAAAAAAAAAATTGGCCAAGCGTTCTTGTTTTGGGCCCGAATTATTCTCTGAGGGTTTTGAAAATGAAACTAAAGTTTCCCCTGCAAATGTTCAGTCTGTCTCTCTCACTCACTGTCTATCTTCTCTCTCTATGTATATAAACATAATTATATTACTTTTTTTAAAAAATAAATATAATTGTATATAGCAAGTAGCGGCGAGCGTCACTGCACCAACAAAATTTCAATCTGTATGATTGAGTCACTGATTTTTAGAAGACTGCATGCACGTAAATAAGTAAAGTAGCGCACACCATTTTTGGCTATTCACATATATAAAAGGACATTTGGATCTTCTTGATAAAGATGTCTCATTATTTATTTTTTTTAAAAGAAAGAAACAATAAATACCAATAAGTGAAGATGCAAACTGGCGTCCCATCTTGAAGATAACAATTTTTTTTTTTTGATAAGCTGAAGATAACAATTTTTAATCAGTAGGATAGAAGGTCCTAATGTTCGACCAATACTATTAATGCAAACTTTTTTACCTGATAGAAATTTGGAAAGGAATACAGTCACAATGACAATAATATAGTAATATGCATTACAAAAAATAATATTATATTCATAATTTTTTATACTTGGAAGTTAAGAAGAAAAAATAATATACTCTCTCCGTTAAAAAATATGAGGCATTTTTAATTGAATCTCATATTTTAATAAAGTAATTATCTACTTTTAAATTAATCCTATATTTTTATATTTATCCCTATTATACACCTTATCATAAATATAAAGTCATTATCAATAGAGGCACTTTTTAAAAAAATAATGATTACACTTCAAAAAATTAAAATATCTTATATTTTTAATGGAAGGAATATTTTTTATTGTACCGACTCAACTATTAAATAAAGCAAACTTCATCACCTAAGCTCAAATATATATCCTCTTTTAGGATACTGCCTCGTTGATTCACGTTCTTTTATATATTCCTCCCTCTCCAATGTTTTCTTTGAATACTATTTATATTTAAAATAAGCTTCATAAGAAGGAAGTGGTGGGAAAAAGAAAACTAGGTTGATGGGAATAAAAAAGCTTGGATTTGCCACACCATTAGGGGGTAAAGTTATCCATTAACGAGAGCCACTAATGAAAGAGAGGAATATAATGAATATGTAGGAGCATGACACTCCTTACTTCTCTTTTAAACACCTTAGAACCGAGATCCTCTCCATCTTCACAAAACGTAAAGCAACGCTTGGTCATGATATATAGTATTTAATAATATAGCATCTAAAGCCAGGTCAATTGGTCTTGTTAGAATTAATAAACTATTAAATAGTATTTTAATCATAATTTATTAAATTTTTTTAATTATAATTGATTTGACTGTGATTGGACTATGATTTTGGCAGTTAATCTTTAAATTAATATGGTTTTCAGTATCTTCGTTAGTACAGGAGTTTTGGAAATGATGGAGCCTCTTTTTTGATTAGGAAAAGTAAACTTAAAATAAAAAATACGAGTAAGTTACGTGGGGCGCACCTAGCCATTTATGTCTCCAAAAGACGCCCCCCACCTCCAGGAACCAGGTCCAGGATGGATCCGCCTCGCTCCCCATCTTCTTCCTTTCCTGACGACCTTAGCATTCATGAAAGCCAGCACAAAATAAATTAATTGAAGTGAAAAACCAAGAGATTTCAGTTCCAATTGTTTGTGTATATGTTATTGGCTGGAGAAAGAAGAAATGGGGTGTATTGGTATGTAGAAAGAATGGAGAAATGGGTTGGAAGAGAATGAGGGTGAGGAAAGGAGAAGAGGGTGAATATAGTGCAAACCGTCAAAATACTTTTTCGTCCTTTTGCCTCGCGTTATTCGGGGAGAGACATCTTATCTGTGAGTTTTGGGGCTGCTCTCTCTGTTAATCCCTAACCAAATCAAGCACTAGCTACCGGCCAGCGCTCAATCTTTCCTCAAAACTCCCCCACTTGTCCTTCCACAATTTCTCATCTCATGCCCACCGATTATTAGCACCCATCCTTATACACACTCCAATCCACGCTCAATCTCTCAATCTTCCCCAGAAATTCTCACCCACCATCACACCCTATATGCATATCTCTCTCCCATCAATTCCCAGACCCACAAACCGTGCAGGTGGATGGTGACTAGCTACAGAGTTGCACCTGTAAGCCATCTTTTCTGTTTGTTGATAGTTTTGACTCTGATCGATTGCTTCTCATGAATTATTCTTCTCCTTTTATGAATTTCTTTTACTGTTTAGCTCCACAGAAGCAGTATGAATCACTGTGTTCCAGATTTTGAAATTGAAATGGATGACGACGAATACCCGATACCCACGTCATCTGAGGTGCCCCGCCAAAAGAAGCCCTCCGTGTAAGCGCCTTGCAATCTTCCAAAATAAGAACTCCGGACAAGTTGTTTTTCTTCCGAGTGCTTGGTTTCTTTAATTAACGGTGAAAATTGGAACAGGCCCGAGGACGACATCATGGAGCTCTTGTGGCAAAACGGACAGGTCGTGATGCAGAGCCAGAATAATCGGCCTCAGAGAAAACCACCGCCAGAGAGGTACCCCGACAGCGTAATCCCAGCCGGTCCGTCGACAGGGAGGGAAATTCGACCCTCGCAACAAGTAGAACAACACTATCAGAATCAACATATCTTCATGCAAGAAGATGAAATGATTTCCTGGCTTCACTATCCCATCGTAGATGATCCTCCCTTCGATCAAAATTTCTGCCCCGACATCCTCTTCCCGCAGCCGCCCACTGTCAATAACAGTTCCATGCAGAATCCTGACCGTACGTCTCCCGCATCGGAAATCCGGCAACCATCGAGGTCGGTCGCTCCTCGGCCGCCGATTCCACCTCCACGGAAGCCGGAGCAGGTGCGGACGATGATACCGAACTTTGCGCACTTCTCCAAACACAATGCGACAGTTGAAGCGGGACCTTCGAGTTCGAAGACGGCGATGAAGGAATTGACGGTGGTAGATTCATGCGACACTCCGGCCTTGATGGCGTCGGCTTCCAGAGTCTCGGAGACTTTCAGAAACTCGGCGGAGCCTACAGAGCACGATGAGGCTCCTGGAACCCTGAGCACCGCAGGGGCTGCGGCTCCTTCGTCAACGTCGGTCGGCGGAGATACTGGCTTCAGGGAGACGACAACGTGCGAGATGATGGCGACGTCATCGCCGGGAGGTTCGAGCGAGGCTGCTGAACCGGTGGGGAGACATGCGGCTGAGGATCGGAAACGGAAGGGCCGGGAAGCCGATGAATCGGAGTGCCACAGCGAGGTGAGTGAATTTTCAGTTCCAGTGTCAGTTTTACCAACGTTTTTCCTTCCGCTATCGTGCTGGCGATGAGTGACGTCGATTCACTTGTGAGTTGTGAGTAAATTACTGCTGCTGGTTTTTTTTTTTTTTTTTTGACTAAACTACTGCTGGTTTTCACCTAAAAAAAATACCACTACGGTATTTACTAGGTTTTCATTTTTTTTAAAAAAATATTTTTCTAATTAAACGATCAGCGTCATTGTTATTTCACATATTTTTTTGTGTGCATGTATCAATATTTCATTTATATATTTATCTATTGAAATATCACGGCTTTTGTATAATAAAGTAATAATGTGATTTTATTTTTCATGTGAAAGTGAAATTAGTTAAGTAAATTTATTTTTGAATTAACACTTTTTCTTTTTGACTATAAAAGAAATTCAACTCAATATTAAACATAAGATAAATAAGGGGAGTATAGGAAGCATTGGTAAATGTAAATAGAAATTGGAAAAATAGGAGTCTTGTGATTTACTCAAACATAATAGAAAAGACATTTCTATTAAAAAAAAACTAACAAAGTTAAGTTTTAAACACTTCATTAAACAAATAGTGGGAAAAAAAAAACCTGCTTAGTTCAATCGATTGGTAGAAAGGACGTAAGCTATTGAATAAATTAGTGTTTATTAAGACTTTGCTTCAAAATGCTGAGAAACTCAAATCATTAGCCAAACTTATCACGTATTCCAGTGCTGGACGATAAGATATTGTAGCCAGTAAGATGGTCACTACTCACTACTAGATTGTCATTGACTCACACCATAGCCAATTAGGACTGAGAACTAACAAAAACCTAATAAAGTTAGCAAGGGATGCACTCCGATTCTTCAGCGTATTAGTTGAAACCTGGAACGGGGATGACTCAGATCAAAGACTCTCCTTATTTGTTATCTCTTCCTCATCTTCCAACGCTTCTTACTTTCCATTTGGTTTGCTGCAAATAGGATGTCTATGTTGAATCTGCTGAAGCCAAGAAACAAAACTGTGGATCATCATCTACTAAAAGATCACGAGCTGCAGAGGTTCACAATCTCTCGGAGAGGGTCAGTGTGTGGCATTGCTATAGCAATTAACATGTTCATATCATTTACTGTTCGTAATCTTCTTACGTTTACATTTACATGCAGAGGCGTCGAGATAGGATTAATGAAAAGATGAGAGCCTTGCAAGAACTTATTCCTCGCTGCAATAAGGTCCTACACTTTCCTGCTCATTTCTTTACAATATGGGGAGCAGGATTTTGGGATTAATTTTTCTTCCCAATAGCGGTTTATAACTTTGATTGCTTTTCTGGTTCAGTCCGACAAAGCTTCAATGCTGGATGAAGCAATTGAATACTTGAAGTCACTGCAGTTACAGGTTCAGGTAGGTTCTTCATTTCTTCTTTCTTCTGAATAGACTGTAGATGTACATAATCTAGCAGGCTGACCCTCAACTTAACAAAACGTTTTCGTAAAAAAGCACAAACCTCCTGTTGCATTCGCATTCGAAAGTTTTCACATCCCTTAATTCAGGCTTGTACTATAACTGTCACAATCAGTATGGGGATCATCGTTCGTGTATTTCAATCCATGGTCATATATCATGAATCACGAGTACAATTCATGTATGCAGATGATGTCCATGGGATGTGGGATGGTCCCAATGATGTTTCCAGGAATTCAACAGTATATGCCACCAATGGGGATGGGGATGGGCATGGGCATGGGCATGGGCATGGGCATGGAAATGGCACTGAATAGGCCACTGATGCCATTTCCCAATATGTTAGCTGCTTCTGCTATGCCTCCAGCGGCAGCAGCTCAATTGGGACCAAGGTTCCCTATGCCTCCTTTCCAAATTCCTCATGCCCCTCAACCTGATTCATCTAGAACGCAAGCAGCAGCTCCAAATCAATCAGAAAATAATACGCTTCCTTCCCTTGTCACACCTGATCCCAACCAGTCACGGATTCCTAACTTTAGTGATCCTTATCAGCAATGCCTTGGTCCCCACCAGATGCATCTGCAGTTCATGCAGGTAAATTTTGTCTTCCACTGTTTTTTCTAACCCTTCTCTCCTTAACATTCTCCTTAGTAATTCTTGAGATGACAAGCAGTGGGAGAACTGCACTGGCTTCCTAGACTTGCTAGTATTATAATTGAAGGTCAATTTTTTTTTCTTTTCAAGTTTTGTTGGATGAGCACATTTATTTATGAATCCGATTTTCTTAAACAGAATCAGGTAATGAACAACCCAACTGTCCAAGTACCAGTAAGAGCCATGGAAATGCAGAAAAAAATCAACCAGGTACGGATGTTATGCTTTTATCTTAGTCATCTACAAAAGTTTGCTAGTTATGGTGGAAAAGAAACGACGGTTGATGATGTGCATATTCACTTTGTGCTTATTGTGTTCCTGGTTCTCATTCTCAAGCTTCTGTGGAACGTTGATATCAGGATCTGGTTGTTTACTGTGTGTGAGATTGTGGAAGAAGCATTTTGTTTAAATCGATGTGGCAACATAATTGTGAATTGATGGGGCAGGGCATACTTTTCTTATTCGCATTATAGAACAGAATTAAGAATTCTTTTAGCTTCTCATAAAAATTTTACTGGTTGCCACAGAGTAACTATGAGGACGGAACCAGCGAGTGACTAAAAATGGCGCTTCTCACTGTTGCTATAGCTGGAACTAGCAACACTGACAATGGTAGGATACTGTATATATTGAAGGAGGAACACTGCATGCAATAATGATAATTTTCATTAACGAGGGACTTGTGTGTGCATTACAGGTTAGTATCCCGGCATCCTCAGCAGAGCTGCCAAGTTTTGTAGTGCAAGAGAAGGAAGTTTTTTGCTGTTCTCAGTATCAACCTAATCTATACAAACTGCTAACATGTAAAATATTTCCGTTATATTTATCGAGAAAAAACGTCGCCATTTTCAAGAGGAGGGATTCTTTATGTCATAATTAATTATTCTCGCCCTCTGCTTTCCCCCTCAAATTCTTGGAAGTGCCTGAGCCACAGAGTCATTCTGTCCTTATGATACGGGAAGAGGAAGCGGAAAGAAGGCGCAAATACAAATAAAAGACCCCTTCTTTATGGATGGAGCCTCAATTCTTTGACAGTGAAACATTTGTGGGGCTTTCCACGAGTGATTGTCTTTGGTCTAATTCAAAACTATAAATACCTCAAATGTCATAACACTAATGCATATACATTCATTACTGTGTGCCTGTGTTTTGTTTCTGGTGTTGTAATTAGTGTAAACCGTTGATTAAGAAGTTGAATTGGGAATCCAGAATGATCATAATGGAACGAGAAAGGAAGCAGGAAAGGTGTAATAATGAAGAATGGAAGGTGGAGGACATGTGATGGGTGGTCCCAGGGGGTGACCACACCACAGCCTCAGCCTCAGCCTCAGAGCCCAGGTTCATTCCCCCTTCCCTTCCTTTTCGCTTTCATTTTCCTCTCTCTTAACTCTCAGTCTCAGCCATTAATTTGCAAATGGGTTTGATGAATCTGATTCAATTATCTGACTTGGACGCCCCTCCCTTGCCCACATACAGAAGACCCCCGGCTCACTATGATCCAGTTCTCAATATAATTTCTTTGGAGTAAATACAATGGTTTTTTGAGATTGGGAAAAGGAAGAAATTAAAAAAGCAAAGGTCAATTAAAAAAAGTTAGGGAAAACAATACTTTTAGTCTATATATTTTGTTCAAGTTTTAATATAGGTTTTTATATTTTTTTTATTTTAAATCCCTACATTTTTTTCTGTCTACAATGTTAGTCTTTACATTTTTAGAGGGACATCGATATGGCAAAAATAATGTTAATAATGTTGATGTGTCAATTAACACTGTTAATTTTGTGCTCATGTATCAAACTGATGTTAACATGAAATTTTTAATAAATTTTTTTTAAAAAAGGCCTACATGAAATTTGTGTGTTTTGCTAATCATTTAAAAAAGTTTAGGTAAGCCTTTTTATTTCGTCTAATATAGGTTTTTTAAAAAAAAAATTTCTTATTAAATAATTTCATGTCAACATCAGTTTGATACATGAGCACAAAATTGACGGTTTTGATTGATATGTCATCATTATTAATATTGTTTGTACCACATCAATATCCTTCTGAAAATATAGGGACTAATATTATATATGAAGAAAAGTATATGAACTTAAAATATTAAAAATAATATATAAGAATTTATACCAAAACCTAATCAAAATACAAGATCAAAAGTAGTGTTTTCTCAGAAAGTTATTTACAGCAGATTAAAATTGTTACGGTGCCGAACAAATATTTTTGTATTTTTTGATATTTTTCTCTCCCTATAATGTCCACTCCTTCTGATCATAACTTATAGCTATAATCAATACCTGGAATAATTTTTACTGCGTAGTTGTTTCAAAAGAAAAAACGTAAAAAGAAAGAAAAGCAAGTTTCCATGAAAGGTGCAAACAGTAAATTTGTGATAGGAGCACTAATTATATGACTCCATCCAGCTTGTCATGGGAAGCCACATATCCAATAATTGTGTGTTGGTGAGCTTGAATGATCAAATTACTATTCGTATTATTAGGTAACTTTAAACCTCAACCTTTAGCATAAAACAGTCTCTTTGATTTGTGAGTTTTGATGAAATTTCAGCAACTATATGACTTTCTGTGGGCCAAGACCAAAGTATTCCCACTAAAATAAAATTTTGGATCCAGTTTTAAAATGTTGGTTTGATAACTTTTTTGCAATATTTATAGGCTAAATCAATCGTAACTACAATATCTATCTTCTCACAATCTCCATTGTTTGAATAATTAGGTCGGACACCCTACACATACAAAGATAAAATAAATGGCGTAATTAGGAGAGTAAACTCTGTGCTGCTGGGCACATTGTTTGTGTAACTAGAGATATAAATAAAAGGAGTATAGTTATGAGAAGCAAATCGCATACATCAAGGTTAAGAAAAAATAGCCATATTTTTATGTGTCTTTGAATTTATGCATCTTCCTTGAAGGTTAATAACAAGAAAATTTCTCCTGTTAGAATCATGACGACCTATTGAATGAAGCAAATTAAAAGGAAACGCTTGGAAAGCCCTGGGATTTTGGCTTCAATCTTGCAAACAATACGCCTCCCTATTAAAAGATACAATGCCTTGTACTATCTGAGGTTCAGTTTCCATGCTCAGCGTTGTGATGAGCACTTGGTGCTTATTATTTAAACGATATCTCGTTTTGAAAGATGGAAGAAAATGACACCTTGCTATATTATTGAGTTTAGACTTTCACTCAAGACAGAACGAAAAAAATGAAAAGAATTGCTGGTGATGCTTTCATTTGTTCAATTTCATTGAATCAAGAATAATATATATTATTCCGTTAAAAAAAAAAAGAGGAGCATATATTAAAATTAAAAAAATCTAAAATAGTTTTTTAGAAAAAATTAATCATTTAATTTTTACATTTTTATTCAGTTGTAATACAAGTCCTTAAATTTTATCTTGTTGTAACTTAATTTTTATAATTTTTATTTAGTTTGTAACATAGTTCTTAAATTTTGACTTGGTATAACTTGGTTCTTTTAGTTCTTAACAATTTAAAATATTGGTCCCATATTTTGTAAAATAAAATTATAAAGATTGACATTATCTTAAAATTTAGGGATTGATATTTTAAATTGCTAAAACTTTTAATCTTTATAAAATATAGGGACAAATATTTAAATACTCCATGCTATTTTAATTTTTTTAAAATTATATCTATAAATATTAAAATTTTTATTTTATTTTTTAAAATAGAGGGACAAATATTTTAAATAGTTAAAACTATAAAAATTGAGTTATATATAGAGTCAAAGTTTAAAAATTGTGTTAGAATTAAATTAAAATTATGAGAATTAAATGATTATTTTTTAAAAAAAACTGTTTCAGATTTTTAATTTTAATGAGTATGACAATTTTATTGATTATTTATATATCCTCTCCTATTTTTAATTTGAAAAAGATGTAAGTCCATGAGTTATGGTGGGTCCCATGGAAATGAGTTCCAATAGGCAATTCCTTTCATTTTCTTCATTTTGTCTTGAGGAAAAGTTTAAACTCAATAAAGCAGCAAAGCATCATTTCCTCCCATCACTCAAAATGAGGTGTCCTTCAAATGATAAGTAGTTGAGTACTCGGCGCTCATCATAGCGTTGGACATGGAAATTGAATCTGTCGCTGTTCGCATCTGCATTTGGTGCTCATGCGGCGCTCATCAACTTAACAGCTAATTTGGGCCATTCATTTTATCTCAAAATTATTAGTACTGTTCATTTTAAATTTATTTTTAAATATTTTACTACTCCATTCATCTCAAATTATAAAATATTTTTAAATAAAATTTTACATACTAATAAATCTCATTAAATACTCTTAACAATCTTATTTTTTCAAAACAAAAATATAAACTTTTAAAAATATTATTTATTAATAACATTAAATCTACACTTTATTAGTATCAAATAGAGAGAGATAAAGAGTAATATTGTAATAAGTTTATTTAATAAAATATTAATATTCTTAAAGTGTTTTATATTTTGAAAAAACGAATCACTCCTAAAAGTGTTACAATTTAGGACGAAGAGAGAATTATATTTATTAAAATAAAAATTTATGAAAAGTATAAAAAACTTAATATTAAATTTATATAGTCTTTGATGCTCAGGTGATGAACACTGGGTTATTCATTACCTACGATGAGATCTGGATCAATTAGATTTGAAAGTTTTTTATTTTTATTTTTATGAAATTTATTTTTTAATAAATATGTTCATCATCAATCTTGTCAATACAGCTTTAGTCAAGATAGAGTAATTTAATATTAATTTTTTAAAATTTTACCAAATCTAGATGTAATTTGAATAGTATAAATATAATTTGAATGATGTAATTTAATAAAAAAATTTAAAATTTTTACAAATTGACTATATATACTCTAAAGTCTGAACAGTAAATATTTAATTTTAATTTTTTATTTTAATAAATATAATATTAAAAATATCTAAAAATAAATTTAAATTGAACAGCACAAATCTTTTGAAGACAAAATAAAAGGTCAAGATCAACTTTTAAGCTATGAGCACGCGGAACAGCACCAAATGCCAACGCGACGGACCTCATGCTAAATTAAGAGAAGATCCAAAAGGGGCATACTTCACCGGGGCCCAAAAAAAAAAAAAAAGAAATACACCTGTCTCTGTATTTTAAAGCCGTCTCTAGGAGAACAGACATAAAAATGTACGAAGAAATAAATGGTGTCGAAACTTAAAACTAGTGGACCTAAGAAGTAGACCAACTATCACGCATGCCTGGTTCGATGATCTCTCATCTCATTCACCATTAATGAAAGGATTCATGAGGTAGAATCTCACAACGGACGTCTGTCTATCTTGCAACTCAAATTCAGTGTCTCCTTAAAAGACCATGAATTTTAAAGCACTAACTTAAGCTACTTCAATATGGTGAGCGGGAAAAACTTGAACTTGAAGCCCAGGGAGGGTCTAAACTATTCACAATAGATGTAATATGCGAGTTCCAGTTACGAAAGGACTATCATAGTCATGGACTATCGCGCCACAGAATAAGCGCTGCAATGGTAGCCTACCGTAATTAACCAGCTAGATTACGTCTAATTGAATCAGCTGGCTGGCTCAAGCAATGCTTCCTTGGTCTAGTTAGTCAGAAAAGAAACAACACCATTCAATCATGGATCATCTGTGCTTGATGTGATTCAACGAAGGCCACAACAGTACACAACTTCATCTGATCCAGGCCAGAAATGTGTACTCAGTATTTCAGCTCACGCTTTCCGAACTTGTTCCAACTCAGCACATTCCATGAAATTACGTTACGCTTACTATAATACACTCCAATGACTGCATGAACGCAGTCACCAGCTACTGTAAATTCATTGGGAATTAACATTAACAGTAAAGATAACAATCAACCAAAACTCGTTATAGTTCATATTCAAATGCCATGCTGTCATGCCCATCAATTAGTTCGGATGAATCTCCATGGTACAGAAATATTTTTTCGACTGAACGAATATCACTAGAACCAAAAGAAAAAAGGGTCTAAAATGGCAGATTATATTTCACATATAAAGTCCTTCTGGCACCCCTTCTTTCTTCTTGAACATCACCTTATCTTTGGCCTTCTTGAAGTCAGCATGCGTCACCTGAAGAATGGGATCCAAAATTTAAGAGTGAGAAGGGGGAAAAACATTTTCAAGTCATTA